TCCTTTCCTTACCACCTTGAGGTAGAGATTGTGCACTGATTCTAGTAACTGGCTAATGCAGAGTGCTGCAAAGTGCCACTTGCTAAAACCAGAGTCTTACAGCTCATTCTCATGCTGTGAGCTACCACCACTGGTGTTCATTTTTTCTAGTCAGTATGCCAGACAATGCTCATGGAGGGACACTGGCTGATGGCTCACCAGCTGACACCAGCAGAGGATGGAGTGAGTGCCTCTCCTCCTCTTGTCATCTCTTTTTGCAGCATTCAGGTTCTTGCAGTCAGGTATCTCTCTAGTTTTCATTGTTCAGAAGAAATTCAGTTTTTTCTCTGAGATACCACTAACAAAAAATGAAAGTAAAAGCAAATACCGTGAAAGTACCCAGAAAAATTATATCAATGATACAATATATTAATATTTACTTATTTGCTGCATTTTCAGATCAGATTCCCTTGATACTGTTAACTTCAAATAAAATTTAAGGTACAATTGTTCATACATAAGTACATCCTTGGTAGGGTGAAGATGGTGGTCAGTATTGGAACAGAGTTGGAATTGTTTTTGAACCTCATACTGGGATTTATTTCACTTTTAACTGTTTGCTTTTGCAGGGATAGCAGTCCAGTCACGTTATTGAATTGATATTAATAACCATTTTTTAAACTGTTCTGATCTGGGAAATTACCATTACATATTTTTAGATCAGATTTCTGAGTAAAGAGAGTAGTGGTTTGCTGTGTGCAAATAAGATGATGTTACTATTTTTTTACTGCCTCTGCTTGCAGTGGAGAAAGTTCGTTCAGCAAGCAAAAAGAAAAAATTGAGCCTTCATAGCAAATGCTGGTTTTAGCCTGCTTCAATCTTTGAACTAAGATTATACTCAACCACTCTTTCTCATTGCACAAGCAGACTTTGGAAACCGATACACTAAAATTAGGAGGCATGTTTGCATTTTCAACCTCTCCAAGTACAGCGCTGCAAATAGTTCATTCCAGCTATGTCATTACTGTACAACATAGGGTTTGGGGTTTTTTTTTTAGAAAGCAAATGTCATTACTTCCATCTCTTCCACATTGCTTTAAAAAAATACCCACTTTGTTTGGCAAAATGAGTGTGGGGACCGAAGCTGCCCTTACTGCAGTGTCCTTGCTGACCCCACAAGCATAGGAGCCTGTGTTTGTCACAGACACTTTGGTAACCAGTGGCTCATCTGGAGGGAAGGTGTGAATGCAAAGTTGTGTCTTTTCTGTGCTCAGGAGATGGAGAAGGGATCACTAGAATAATAAGTTCTCCACTCTATTCAACAGTATTTTATTAATCTTGAAAAAAAATTAATTTACTGTGTATCATTCTGCTAGGGTTGTGTAATCCTGGTACCTGGGACAATTGATGGAGATTTTGCATAATTCTCCTCATGAGTACAGATGAGGTAGTGTGTTTTAAGACATTGTGATGAAAACTCTATTTTTTGTTTCTTTATTTGTTTGGGGTTTTTTATTTGTTTGTTTCTTTTCATTCTGAAGGTTTCCAACTAAAGTGTACTACCTCTTTAGCCCTTCAGTGCTTCAAGTGACTTGAACTGCTCCACACAAATTATGCATACAATAATGAGGAAACCTTATTTGCTTAAATAAGAGCAAGGAATGATTTGATAAAAGTAGACAAATGAAAATTCAGTAAATCCTCTTTGACTAGAAACAGGTAGTCCAGCTTTTAATTGCATATAATCTAAACACTGTCACTATCAGAAGAAATTAACTGCTGTTGCTAATCCTTGCTGGCCCCATGCCGCAACTTGGGATGAGTATTATGTGGGTTACAGGCTCTGTTCATGGTCATGTAGAAACGACTTTCTTCATGAAGCACTGAGCAGGTGTGGGATTAGACATAGACTAAAGTTTGGCTTAAGGACAGAAAATTACATAAGGATTGGTCTGGGACTCTTTGTATTATGTAGAGGGGGTGTTGCTTATTTTGGTTGGGGGTAGTTGGTTTCTTTTGTTTGTTTCTTTTATTTTGGTTTGATTTTGGTTTTGTTTGTTTGTTTGAGAGACAAAGAAAAAGAAATGTCTTATTGCTAACTTGCCAAAGACAGAAACTTCGAGGAACAGACATTCCGGGTTTCTCCACTTTGCCACCAGATGTCCGTCATGAGCAGGGAAAGCTGATGACTTGCACGAAACCCAAAATCCTGGATTCGCAGCACTTTTGAAGATCTGACAGTGAAAAGTCGAATGAAGTTACATGTTACCGTAGAGTTTTGGACAACAGGGATGCTGCGAAGGCTTTTTGGCTCCGAAAAATCCAAAGTCCTGCCACTAGCTCGAAAGTATATGTTTAACTCTTAGAACTTGTGTGTCTCAGCCTGCAGCAGCTGTAGAACACAGAGCCTGTGCATTCCTCCAGAGAATTAGGTACACAGCTCTCATACAAAGTCCTAAAATCTTTTTGGGAAACTTGCCCTTTCAGATGGCAGAAATATTTGAGAGGGTCACTGCATGTGACCTCTGGAAGGAGACCTAGCCCTTTTCAGCCTCATAGAGCTGCTGAGTGATGCTGTAGGTTTCGCAGGTCTGACAGCATGAACTGAATCCACAAGCAAGAGGCATTTCCAGGCATAAGTAACATACAACTCTGGAAAGCACTTCTGGAAAAAAAGTTGGAACACTTAAACTTAATAAGGTGCAGCGACTTCTTAAGGGGGGCATTAGCTTCCCACCTACATGAGGGAATTTACCTCCAGAATAAAGTATCTTAAGAGGGAACTACTGTAAGGTTTGCTGTGTGTCCCTGTCCTCAGAGTTCTGTAAACTCAGATGCCCAAATGCTTCCAGCTGTTATAAGAGCTGCTGTTTATTGCAGTAATCAGTATTTCAGATTAAAACCATACAGGTTTGATACATGTTTGAGAATGAGAGGAGCAGAAATACACAAGAGCTGCTCCAGAGTTTGGCACTGTCTATTGCTAAATGTGCACTGTCTCTTTCTATCTTCAAGAGAAGCAGGGGACACCTCGGGTGGAAGGGCTCATTATTCAGCAATAACCGTGTAATGGGACACTTCCCTCTCTCATTGTCAAAACAGGAAGCAGAGGCTACAAAGCTCTTCTGGACACAGCGACAGGAGCTACACCCAAACAAGCTCAGGGACCGGGAAGTGAATGTCTGTGGGAAGTGGCCGCTCTCCTCCCCCACCATCTGCGGGAAAAGTACCTGCCTAGGAAACGTCCCTCACTCACCTAAGGGCTCCTGCACCTCCTCCCAACCTCCAGACTCCCTTCCTAAGGGGTTACAAAATTTCCTGCATCCCTCTCATCTCACAAGGGAGACAGCTTGTGCACCAGCCTCTACTCCTGGGAACCTGGGTTTTCCCAGCAGGGTCCCACACTGCCTTACAGAGGGAAGGTGTGTTGCTCACCACCTGTCTGGGAGTGAGCCGTAGTCTCATCTAATAAAAGCAGCCCTACTGCTCTGTGTTGAGAAAAGTGAATAAATGAACCAGCAGTACAAAACTTTCCCTGGACATTCCCTTCTTGAGTCCTTCCTGGGAAACAGAGACCTCTTTCATGAAGGTACTGGGATCCACCACACTAAAAGGAACATGTTGGGTCTGCGCTGTCACATGCATCCCCATTTTCAGATTTTGAGTGTCTTCACAATCATGGGAAGAAAAAGTTGTAAAAGCAACTTGCAGTCCCTCTCACTCTCATGACTGCTATGCTCAAATCTCCTAATTGGTGCCCTTTTCCCTATCAAAACAAGTTTTAAGTATCCAGCATTACAGGGTTCTTTGACTGGTGCAGTTAAAGCACACATCTGTAACCTTGCTTTCAGAGACGTGAGGGCTCAGTGTAGCCTCCACTTCTGAAAATACTGTATTCTGTCCTGAATATTCTCAGCTGTGTCTCTGGGAAGCTGAATATGAGCTTATTGCCAGATTCTGATTCTAATAAAGTTAATGGAAATTTTGCCAGTGACTTCAAATGGTCCAGATATTATTCTCTGGCCAACTCCTATGAAATTATCCCAGTTCAAACCCAGAGCAATTGCACTGATTTCAGTGAGACTAGACTGGCTTTACTCATCCAGTCCAAGCAAGATCCATGAAGTCAGAGATCAGGGTATGGAAGAGCTGCCTCTCACTCAACCAAACTGCTGTTATTGGAGTGTTAGATGATGTTTGGGATTTTTTTTTTTCACTCTTTGATGACAGTGATGAAATCAGAGCTGCAGCATTACTGTAGGAGGGGGTATGTTCTTTTCTGGCAGTATAGCCTGCTGCACAGGATGCAGACCGGTATTCCATCAATCAGGGATACCTGGGTAGTCTCAGCCATGTACCACAGTTTCATGTTCAGTTCTCCAAGATACTCCAGGGGAAAAAAAAAGGGCTAAAAAGCTGTGTAGTATGTCGTAACCTGCTAAAATAAACCCCAACGCTTATTCAGATTTAGAAAACTCCACCTATTTTCAGGACAAATAGCCAACACCCGCTGGGGGCAGGAAGGGTGGCCGAAACCCTTCCTTTAACAAGCCAGCAGAGTCCAGCCGCAGAGGCGGCAGGAGCCGCAGCTCGGCGGAGCGCCGCTCCAGCGCAGCGAGCCCGCGACACCCGACGGGGCCGGCGCTTCTCAACCTGCTCCTGCTCCTGCTCCAGCGCCCCGCCCGCCCCCGCGGGGCCGCGCTACCTGCGCCCGCTCCCCGCCCCGGAGGAGCGGCCGCCCGCCCCGCCGGGAGGCGGGCGCGCTGCTCATTTGCCTTCGCTGTCAGCGGCCGCGCTCCGGCCAGCCCGCGGGGACCGGGGCTGCAGCCGCAGGAGCCGCTCGCTCGCTCTCTCCTTCGCTCGCTCCCTGGCAGCGAGAAAAGTTTGCTGCTCTTCACGCTGCTCCTTCTCCCTCCGTCCGCAGCCCCCGCGGCCCGGCGCGGATCCCCCGGGCAGGGGCATGGCGAGCTGAGCGGCCGGAGCGGGCCGGGGGCGGCCCCGCCGCACCTGAGCGGCGGCGGAGCGCCATGCCGCGCCGGCTGGCCTGGCTGTGCTGCTGCTGGGCGCTGCTGAGCGGAGCCTGCCGCCCCGCCGAGCCCGCGCTGCCCGCCGAGGGCGGGGAGCCGCCGCCCGCCGCCGCCGGCTCGGGCTTCCTCTACCGGCGGCTGAAGTCGCACGAGAAGCGGGAGATGCAGCGGGAGATCCTCTCGGTGCTGGGGCTGCCCCACCGCCCCCGGCCGCTGCCGCGGGAGCCGCCGGCCCCGCCGCCGGGACGGCTGAGGGCGGCACCGCGCTTCATGCTGGACCTCTACCACTCCCTGGCCGAGGGCGCGGAGGGCAGCGCGGGCGCGGAGAGCGGGGGCCGCCCGCCGACCCCTGCCCCGCCGCTGCCCAGCCCGCAGGACAGCGCCTTCCTCAACGACGCCGACATGGTGATGAGCTTCGTCAACCTGGGTGAGTGAGGGAAACAGGGAGGGAGTCCTGGGCTGCGCGGAGCCCGTCCGTCCGTCCGTCCGTCCCGCCGACACCCCTGGCCGGGCAGTGTGCACGGACGGGCGGGCGCTCCCCGGTGCGGCGCGACGGGGTCGGGGCTTTGCCGGCTGGGACCCACCTTGGAGTGCGCGGGTTTCGGCCAGGAGGGCAGCTCACTTCGGGGAAGGGCAAAACCTCTCGCAAACAGTAGAAAAAGAATATACCCTGGCTTTCAAAACGTTGGGGGGAGGGAGTGAGAGGAAGGAAGAAAAAAAAAGAATAATTATCTTTTTAGTAGTACTTGTTCTGATGGTAGTGGTCCGAGCCTGTAGTTCAGAATTAAGCACACCCTCCTCTGCTTCTTGGGCAGCCGAGCTGGGGTCATGCCAGAGTACAGGTTGCACTCACTCTATGCAAGGTCCAGCAGCAGAGATGCATTTTGGGCTTGAACAAAGTACAGCCACGCTACTTCACGGTGTCCTCGTCTTCTCCTTTTAAAATATTTTTTATTTGTTTTTGTTTTAAGGGATCAGAGCTAGTGCGGTGGTGAATATGTGTACTACTCTGTGTAGGTTATTTTGGTGATTGAGCACGGGAACGTAATAAAAATCTGTATCATGTGGAAATCTTGAATTAAGTTTTGTTAGATGTCAACCTGCTCTTCAAACAAATCATCCTGTCAGCGACGTGAAGGGCTCTGAGGCGGGCATTGCAGTGGGAAAGTCATTAAGTTTTTACTTAAAGGAGCTCTTAGTACTATGCAATTGTAAGGAAACAGTGTAATTAGATTCAGCCTAATGTGGAGAATGAAAATATTTCAGTTGGCAAATAGCAGTTCCTTTTTTTAGGGAATTCCTGTGAAGCTCAAGTGTCTTAGCCGGTCAGCTGAAGACTTTGCCTTTTTGCTTGTGCTGCCAGAGCTGTGTGCCAGAACGACAACAGCTTGTCTTGTTTAAAAACAAACAAACCAAACCGAATTTGTTGTGTGTTTACTTGTTTGGAGCAGGGGTATGTCACTGCAGCAGGAAATTTCTCGGAGCTCCCAGTGCTGGTACAGGTGTTCAACAGCTTTGTGCCACGATGTGTGCATCTAGAATAAGAGCTGATTAATTTTTGTAGCTGATGGAAATCATGTGGTAAGTGAGAAGAGTTGTAAATAGTTGGATTGCAAGTAGTTGAAGGATTTGTCTACATTGCAACCGAGGTGGCCACAACTCGTAAGGGTTACAGCTGAGCTGCCTTAGGCGCTCAGACCTTCCTGAGCCTGGAGCTCTGTTGTCTCCTTGTACTGCAGGTGTGTACCTCTCAGGGTCTCATCTGCCCTGTTTTAAGTCAGTTCGGGGATGTTTAGTGGTGTTGCCATCTCAGGGCTTGGATGTATTTGATTGAGACATCCTGAAATTGTCCATCAATGAAACTAGCATGGTCTGTGGTCTCAGCTCAGAAGCTGAGATCTGGGAAATACTGTACAGGTTTTAAATCCAAAGGACAGCTGTTTTTCTTCCCTCCCAGCCTCCCCAAACCTCTCTGTCCTTTGAATACACAGAGCTGCTGCTGCTGTCCCTGTCCTTTGCCTTGGGGACTTTCAGGACCTGTCCTTGGGGCTGTGATTTTAAGAAGTGTGGTGCTGACTGTGGCTGTCTATAAGCAACCCCCATATCACACTGTACTTGAGGGATGTGAAACAAGATGCCTGCAAGGGGCTAGGCAGTTCCCTAAAGAGCTGATTTCAGGAATAAGTGTGAGCATGTGGTGTTTAAGAAGGTAATTAGCTGTTTGTAAAGCACCAGGAGAGTATTATTAGATGGTATAATCTGAAAGTATGTGTTTCTTTTGGAAATAACCCCTCCCACTCATATGATTCAAATCACTTCTGATAATTTGGATCTAGACACTTATGTAACAAAGAAGAAAATTATTCATGTAATGTAGTAAAATAGTGCAATTGAAATGCTAGTTAGGCGTCTCAGGAAGCATGAATCAACTGTAGAAATTTCTCATCAACTTCCAAATCCCGAGTCATAAACCATAATGTCATTTAACGTGATTGTTTGTTACCGGAGTGTTGATGAATCGATGGGCTGGAACTGAACAGCTGTTTGGCTGTTTTCTGTGGCTTCTCTGACATACCAGGGATTTTTTGGGGTCTTTCACCTGTGTATTGACATTTACTTTTCCATTTAACAGTAATTCAGGTCGGAAAACTAGAGGAAGCCTAAGGTTATGTTCCAATATAGAAACCCAAGGTTTGATGGGAGAAAGCCAGCTTGTGATCTGTCAAAGTAGCTTATTAGATGAAGTCAGAAATGCAGCAAAAGAGAGTGGGATCACAGCAGAAAGGGAAGAATTCTTGATTTCAAGCACACTGACTAATCCAATGAAGTACATGTCAAACAACCCTGAAAACTCACAGCTGGAGTCTGCTTATAAGTGGACACTGCCAGAATTATTTCATTTGGGGCTTTCTGCATGCGGCCATATATACAGTTACTTCTGTTCCATTAAAACTGACTTCTGAAGAACTTTGTGTTCAACCATAAAGACTTCCCATTCCATTACTGAAGAGGCAACTAACAAAGAGATGCGAGGGGCCCCCGCTGCTCTCTCAGGGCGAGGAGTGTATGGTGTCACCTGGAAATGTAGGTGAATGTGGCTGTGTGGAAGTCAAGTCAGTGTGGGTGACCTGCCTGCAGGTGCTGATGCTGCTTCTGCTGCAGCTCAGAACCAGACAAAAGTTTGATGCTGGACAGCCATCATCCAGGTCAGCTGTGCAGAGGAGTCCTACTTTGTCATGAAAGTTTGCAGGTGTTATGTATAAAAGTTTGATGCATCTCGTTGTGCTGGAAAGCCGTCATCCAGGTCAGCTGTGCAGAGGAGTCCTACTTTGTCATGAAAGTTTGCAGGTGTTATGTATAAAAGTGCATTAATTTTTCCAGCCCTGTAGCCCGAAAAGGGTCACTAGCTTGTAGTCACTGCTGATTTTAAACATGCAGGGCTCCAGCCCTTCCTGACCAACTTACATCCTTCAGTCCAGGGACACAGCAGATGTGTTTTCTGTCTGGGGATATGTTCCCATATGTGCTCGGGGTATGAGTCCTCTTTGCAAAGATCTTGCAAAGCTGAGGGACTTTGCCTGAATAATCCGATACCTCACCAATGCAGGCTTGTATCAGCCTCAAAGGTGATGGTGCTCTTGGAGATGGTTTCTATTTCATTTTGGGCTTTTTTTTTTTTTTTAAGTGAAACAGGAAGGTCACAGAAGTGTGAAGGTTCTTCACACACAGGGAGTTGCTGTCTTACAGGGAGGACAGGAAATATCAGTCTTTGAAATGGAGAATCTGGAATTTATCTTGCTTACCTGGTGATGTCTGTATCATGGTGTGGGCAATGATTCCCAGAGGGGCTGATTATAGGGGAGCTTAGTGTGTCCAGGGTTTCTGGGAGATGCTAAGCACTTAGTTTTATGAAAAAAAACTGCACCTGGAGAGCAGTATCGGGGAGGAGAAAAGATTTTTTGTTCCCATTACAAGCAAAATCACATGAGATATAAACCAGTTCAGGTAATTTAGATAATAAATTTAATTTATCAGGTTAAATAACAAAACATAATTTGACAGAAAACATAACCTGTCCTTGATAAATCTGGTCCCTTTTTTTGGGAGACGATCCTAGAAGTGTCTGTTTGGGTGTTTTCATTAGGATGAAGTGTCCAAGACGTGCCTGTTTCTTTTCATTTCACACCTAGGAAGTCTGGATAGCTAGCACAGATGGAAACATCTGCATGGATTCACTGAGGAAGCAGGGTACCAAACTTCTGTGCTGTGGAAATGGCTGTACAGCAGGGTTGTGGGCTTGGGGTGGAGTGCATTGTGGGCCAGGCATCTTTGTGAAACTGTTCAGCTCTCCTTGTAGGAACAGCCTTGATGTAAATACGTGGCATGTCTTGACATAGTACTGTTGGGAGAATAACATCTATTAATGTTTCCTATCTGGAAAAGGTACCTTCCTCATGGCACGAGATAAGGTTATCTCCTCTTGGCAGAACAGCCTGGGGTTGGTATGGAGATACCTCTGGAGGCAGTGATGCTGGATTGACAGCTTGTCCCATGTTCTCAGGCACATCAGTGCTGATGTGAAGGGGATCTGCACTGCATCCTCTGCCTCACCAGCTGCTGTCTTCAGAGTAGTGCATGATGTGTGAAGCAGCAGAAAACAGGGCTCTCAAAACTTTGCTACTTTAACGGCATCCAGAATTATTTTTGTATCGTAGAGGGTGCTATGAAGCAATCCTGTGTCAGAACATGGTCTTCACCCATATCTTCCTATCCAGGCATCCACACTGAGAGGAAAAACAGCCATGCGCTTCCTACAATCAAACCCAAGGAATTCAGTGGCAGTCTGAATTTCTGCCATGACCTGAATCTGGGGCTGTTGATAGACATGCAGGAAAAGTCTGAACCCATCAAACCTGCCAGAGATAAGGATCATAAAAAGTGTGCTTTGGGGTGCGGTACCTGGTTATTCAGCACTGTGGCTTTTTGTAGCAGACTAACAGCACTGATTCAGTGTGCATCTACTTTTGGAGAAAGGGTTTTCCCTTTTATCATAAGACCCACAGGTCCCTTGGGAGGGCTCCATGCAAAAGGTTGAGGGGAATCTCACCTTTTGCCAGCCGGTCCTGCAAACAGCCCTGAAGCTTCAACACTATTTGAATTGGGATTGTGGTGGAAAGACTCTTCTATTTTTGAATCCCCAAACTCCAGGCAATCCCCATCTTCCCTGAAAGACTTCAAGTGTCAGCTGGGGCAAGGGTGCTTCCTTTCAGTGCAAGGAAATTGCCTGGAGGTAGATGTAAGACTTGTTGGACAAATACACACTCTCTCTCTCTCTCTCTCTCCCCTTGCCTATAAAGCTGCACCTTATGGATGTGATGTCTTACAAACAGGCTTTTCTTCTTTTTGGCAGTGGTGACCTACCAGATT